TTTGTCATGGTAATTTTGAATTCTAATTCCATCCTTCAAAATACATGCAATCCCTCCCAGTTTGTCACCTGCACATTTTATAAGCATACTCTCCACTTCATTATATAAGTAATTAATAAAAATATTGAATAGTGACAGACCACTGTGGGACCCCACTAGATATGTCCTCCCATTTTGACACAGAACCATTTATAACTACTTTTTTGAGTATGGTCTTTCAATTAGCTGTGAACCAACTTTAAAGTAATTTCATCTAGACTACATTTTCCCAGTTTGCTTGTGAAAATGTCATTTGGGGCTGTGTCGAAAGCCTTTCCATGGAGAATTAACCTGTGCTGTAGGATAGTCCATCTTCCATGCATTTTGGAATTCCAGGCTCACACCCAAAACCAAAGAAGCAGTTTGAGTTTGCTCCTTAGATTCCCCTCTTGCCCAGCAGAATTAATTTACTGCTTTGGTTAATAGGTTTAACCAAAGATGTACTGTGGGTCCCCTCCGTCATAAAATCGGAGACAGGTCAAGAAAACAAACTTGGTCTTAGCTCTGAAGAACTGAATCTCAAAGTAAAACAAAGTCTGTAGGCAGACGATAAACACAAACCCCGGTGAATGATGTATATTTCAGAAAAGGAGTGAGTAATTAGGAATAATATCATGGAGCTTTACAGGGATAATATCAATACAGAGCAAAAAAATGGTTTGCATTTCCCTGGTTGAGTTAGAAATCAAGCATGACCTCAAGTAATGTCTAGTGGCATTTGCATTCACCACTGCAAATTTTTGTAGAATAGTTCTATTAGGCAATTGTATAATCACCAGGAGCCTCCAGCATCAGTTAGAATAAGATTACTGGGTTCTGTAGTTGCAATTACACAAGGGAGGGAGTTGCACATGTTTCTCCATTCCACCCTGAAGTGCCTGGAGATGCTGGAGTATAGTAGAGGCATCTCAGGAACCTGAGCTATATAATCTAAGATCATAAAAACTTAGCTTCTGAAGCAACTATAAAATATAATCATTCAAGGCCTCAGTACCACACATGAGGCCTCTAGCACATCTTGATCATAGCAACCCATAACATGTAAAGGTCAAGAAAGAAACAGGTTTTTAATTGACTTTTGACAGCTCTTTACTATTGTTTGCAGCTGCAGGAGGGCTAGGAGTACACTTTAGTCTTTATTAGAGAACTATTTTAGGGGACTGCTGGAGGGAAGCGAGGACTTGATATATGCCAGCAATGCCCCTCTGCCATGTACATTGGCCAAACTGGACAGTCTCTACACAAAAGAATTAATGGACACAAATCTGACATCCGGAATCATAATACTCAAAAACCAGTGGAGAACACTTTAACCTGTCTGGTCATTCAATGACAGACCTGCGGGTGGCTATTTTACAACAGAAAAACTTCAAAAACAGACTCCAATGAGAGACTGTGAGCTGGAATTGATATGCAAACTAGATTCAATCAATCTAGGATTGATTAAGGACTGGGAATGGCTGAGCCATTACAAACATTGAATCTATCTCCCCTTGTAAGTATTCTCTCACTTCTTATCAAACTGTACTGGGCTATCTTGATTATCACTTCAAAAGTTTTGTTTTCTTTCTCTTACTTAATTGGCCTCTCCGAGTTGGTAAGGTGTGTGTGTGTGTGATTCTATATGCATTGTCTTAAGACAATGTTATGATGGTGGGATTGTGATGCCATAGTTAAGGTTGCAGCATCATTTTCATTTTGACAGGAATGTTGAACCTTTATTTTTAAGAAACGCTTTAAAACATGGACATAAAATTCACATATTTGAATTTTTTATCTTGATTTGCTGCACCTGGGGTTAATACAATTATTGTGTGTAAACGACCCATGGCAGATGCTGTGATGCCAATCCTGTGGAGAACCTCCATATGAGAGTTGGAGGAACTGGTGAGTATAGAACTCAAATAGGAAACGCTGGAGATTTCTTTGACAATTTAATTATTCAAAGAGATTGGGGTCACAGGTGGACTAGGGATGTACAAGGTTAAATAGTTAACCGGTCAGTATTGGACTTACTGCTAACCGGACCTTAAGTGTTAACCCCGGCAGCTAGCTGGCCAGCCGGAGGAACTCCAGCCGTGGCTGCACTGGGCCAGCCAGCTGGAGCAGGCCCGGCCGTGTCGGGTTGGCCAGAGGGACACCAGCCCCAGCTGAGCTAGCAGGACCCCAGCCCCAGACACACCGGGCCGGGTGGGCCAGAACAGCTCCAGCGCCAAGCCAGCCCTGGCTGGGCCAGGCCAGAGCAACCCCAGGCCAGGCTGGTGGGACCCCCAACCCCATCTGCATTGGGTAGGCTGGACCAGCTCCGGCTGTGCCATGCTGGCAGGACCCCAGCTCAGGCTGCACATGTTGGCAGGACCCTAGCCACAGCAGCAGCGGGCGGGCCAGTACGGCCCTGGCCGTGCCAGCCATGTCCCAGCCCTGCAAATCCGGCAGGACCCCAGCCCCTGCCACACCAGGCCAGCTGGAGCAACCCTGGTTAATGATTAACCAGTTAAACGATATAATTTTAATCGTTTAACCGGATAACTTTTTAAACCAATATTTACATCCCTAGGGTGGACCTGATCCTAGATTTTGCAGCTTTGTCCTTTACTGCGAAATGTGGAGGCCAACCTTAGTTGACTCCTCCATTTGCTGGAGTGTCTTGCGAAATCTGTCAGGCAGTGGCAGATTAGCCACTGGGCCAATGGGGCCTGTGCCCAGGGGCCCTGGATAATTGGGGCACCCTTGTGCCCTGACCCACTCCGTCCATTTGGCACTCCTGCCAGGAGTAGGGGAAGCTCCTGGGCCCCAACCCCACTCCCTGGCAGGAGTGCAGGGTGCGCAGGGCAGGGCAAGCCCCCACACCCTGACCCTGCTCCCTGGCAGGAGTGGACGTTGGGGGATTGCAGGTAGAAGGGATGGGGAGGGGCCCCCACTTGCTCTGGCCCAAGGCCCCACAAATCTCTAATCTGCCTCTGCTGGCAGGGCTTCGTACTGGAAGAAGAACATCATCTGCACAGTCAAGGTCTGAGAGCGAGAGATCACCAATCTTAATGCCTATGGATCTGACAGAATGCTGCATTATAAAATCCATAGGGTGTTTCACCTCTTTTAAATCTCTTTTGGCAAAAATGGGTAACCTCTTGGGATCTGATCTTTGTCTTACACATTACTCCACTTATGCTAATTAGAACAATAATAGTTTTGAATGCACTTTCTCTGCCCTGTGTTGATTGGCTGTTTACTCCAACCCTCTTCCTGCTCCTCCCTCACAATCTTTTCCATTGGCCAGGAACAGCAAACTGCAGCCACTGGGAGCTGTGAGGGGCCATGCTTGCGGACAGTCAATGTCAGCAAAATGTCTTGCAGCCCGTAATTCAATTACACTGAGAGGCCGCATGTGGCCTGTGGGCTGCAGGTTGCATACCACTGGCTTAGCACAATGGAACCCCATTCTAGGTTGGTCCCTTAAGCACTATGGTAGTAAACATGATTATTATTAATAATAAAGTGGGAATATGACTCAAGTTTCTAAGGTCTTGTATTCACTGTAATGTCAGCTCAAGGTATAATGTGGGTGTTACCCCACTCTGACTCCTGTCCACACACACAAATCTCCAGCTCAAGTGAAGTGGTGCTTTAAACTCAAGCTAGCTGGTCTGTCAAGGGGTCTGGACTGACGTTTGAGTGCTGCTAATGCCCAAGGTAGCAGTGCAGTGAGGATGCAGCTACTGGCTGTGAGCTGAATTAGCACATTTGTGATTCTAATCTAATCATTCTGTGTAGCTTCACTGTGTGGATGCTTTCACTCCACCTAGGCTAGCTCAAATGCAGTAACTTGAGCTAACTGTTATAGTGAAGACAAGCCCTGAAGGGGGTTAGCCTGACTTTCAGCTATGTTGCCTTTCAGATCAATTCATCCATATATTTTAATTTATAAGGGGGGTCACACTCAGAGGCTTGCTATGTGAAAGGGTGCACCAGTACAAAAGTTTGAGAGCTACTGGTTTATTTAATTCATGCAGTAAGAAAACATCTTTTTTTTAACCTAAAAACTATCATCTTTGTATTATGGTGTGATGTATACTTTATTTCACTTGTTTGTCATACATTGGCAAGTCTGAATGTAGGCTTCACAGGGGCAGACAGGTGACCCAACTACCAAAAATAGTATTATTCCAGCTTCATCAAGTTTGCACTCTAAGACCAAATCTTAGTGGCAACCTCAGCAATGTTAAGGTAGAATAACTTCCCAGATGCCCAGGAAATGTGATCATTAGATGTGCTGATCTAAGAGTGGTTGAGGTCACTGTAAAGAGTTTGCATCAGAGGGCAAGTCTGATGGAGCTTGGGTATGTGTTGCTTTTTGGTAGCTATTGACTGGAGACAGAAATAAAACCTTTATCCAATGCTAGAGCATGTTACCAACAGAACAGGAGGCAGGCAAGGTAAGCAGATTTTCCCTCTACATCCCTCTTAACACGCTTTTAAGAGTGCGGTGGGCTGTGTCCTGATGCAATGGATCTGTCACTAAGCAAAGCTTTTGTGTGACTGTAACCAGCGGGAGCAGGTGCCCCAAGAGCCATGGGTGGCAGGTTGTGAACTCCTTGAGGCAGGGGTTGTCTTTTTGTAGAGCACACCCCCTGCCCTGGGGCCCTAAGGGGGGGTCTGGTGGTGGGAGTGCATCAGGCAAGGCCCTTCCCTGGTGTATGAGCTACTAGGCTCTCCAGCCCTTCTGCAGAGCCAGCTCAGTCATGCGCACGCGCAGCCTCCCAACCTCCAGTTCATTCTACCCACAGCAGCCTTCAAAATGATTTGTACGCAGGCGCGGGTCACCCTCGGTGTCCCCCAGAGGTCATTCTACGCACGCGCGGCTTCTCCATTTTCCCCATCCCCGCCAGCTGTCAGGTCCAACTGCGCACGCGCTCCCCCACCGCCCTCCCCGGCAGCCGACGACTTCGGATGCTCGTGTGCGCCTGCGCTGGAACCGCCGGCCGCTCCGGGACCAGGCCTTCTCGGCCGCGCCTCGCAGCCTCGCGCACCAATCAGGCGCCGGTGGGAACGTCGTGACGTCTTGGCGCCAGCGCGAAGCCGTGCGTGCGGCGGCGCAGCGTCCCCTGCCCCGAATGAAAGGGAAGGTCCCAGCGCCAGCGAGCGAGCGGTTCTGAGTGCCCAGCGGCGAGCGGCCCCCGAGTCCTCGGTCCCCGGCGCCCCGCCCACCTGGGTGAGTGAGCGAGCGGGCGGCCGCGCACCCTTGAGGGAGGCACCGCTCGGCGCCGGCCCAGCTGCCTGTGGGCGGCGGCGGAGCCCCTGCCCGGCCCCTCCGCCTGAGGAGAGACCCCCCAGCCCGCCCCGGCGCGCGCCCCCTCAGCTGGGGGGGCCGCCGGGGCTCAGGCCTGAGGAGCCGGCGAACAGCCCCCGGAGCCTCGCGGGGGCTCGCCCTTGGGGGGGGGCGGCGGACCCTAGCCCGTCCCGTCCCGGGGTAGCTCCCGAAGGGCCCGACGATCCCCCCTGCGCCCGGTGGGATTCGTGCCCTTGTTGAAGGGGACCCCAAAACGGGGGGTCACTTTCCTCCAAGCCTAGACTGTTCTCCCATCTCCCAGGGCCCCCGTCTTCTCCTGGCGCTAATCCTGTAGCTGGGAAGCGCCCCTGCCTTGCGGGGAGCCCTAGGGACCGATTTCCGCTTGAGGATCCCACCCCAGGGACACTGCCGGCTACGGCAGAGGTAATTCTTCCTTCTGAGAGGGGCACCCTACTCAGCTCTCTGGCTTAGCTGCCTGCTCCACCAAACTATTCAAGCCAGGGTTTGACCCTCCTCCTGTGAGGTGGCTGCCCCAGTTCATGGTCTCCACGCCCCCTTCCTGGGTGGGAACCCCAAACTTTCCTGAAAACAAATCCAATTCATCTGCTGCAGGCTGGTTACACCAACCTCTCTTTCAGTCTTCGGTGTTTTCTATAGGTATGAAGTATATGGAAAATCTTGTTTGCATATACCTTAAAGCTGAGATTTTCATGTGATTAATGATTTTGGGTGCTCATTGTTCCCCTAGATACTTTAAAGGGGCTTAAGTATCAGGGGGTAGCTGTGTTAGTCTGTATCTACAAAAACAACAAGGAGTCTGGTGGCACCTTAAAGACTAACAGATTAAAGGGGCTTGATTGGCAGAGGATGGGTAATCTGCGTTTTCTGACGATTAGGCCCCTTTAAAGTACTTCAAGTTGAGTACCCAAAATCGCCAGTCACTTGTAAAAATACTTGCCTAAATGTTTTTTTGTGTTTGTTTTTTTTATCTGAAGAAGTATCCGAAATCACTTTTCTAACAGGTTTAAATAAAAAAAAATCTAGGCACATTTCTCTTGTGCTTCTCCCAGTTGTCTCAAATTCTGTTACATGTTTTAAAAAACAAAACCCAAACAATCCTGTGTTTGCATAGCACCTCTAATCATGAAGAATCCATAGTTTTAACAAAACAATTAAACTCTCCTGTGGAGAGCCTTGCATATAAACTGTAATCCAGTATTCTATGTAAGAAATAGCCAGTTTGGGCCTGACTTTAGCTAATAAATAGAGCATGAAGAAAAGCTCTTGAACTTCCTTTCTTATCTTTCTTTCCCTCCCTCAGTGCTGAGTAATGTTTCATATATTGAGATAGTGCCCTCCTTGTTTTTTTCCCTGAGAGATGTTGAATATTGGAGAGACAAGATGGATGAGGGAATATCTTTTATTGGACCAACTTCTATTGGGGTGAGAGAGAAGATTTCAAGCCACACAGAGCTCTCTCTCAGGTCTGGGAAAGGTACTCAGTGTCACTGCTGAATGCAAGATCGAACAGATAGTTTAAGGGACCATTCAAGGCAAAGTGGCCTGTTAACATCCTTGTATACATAGGACAAAGGGAGGGGAGGGGGCTAGTGAGTTACAGATTGTTGTAATAAGCGGTAAATCAAATGTCTTTATTAAGACCATGATTTTTAGCAAAGTTATGAATTCAGCTTCCAAGTTCATCTTTTGCAAGGTTTCATGTGAGGATGAGGAGTATGCCTGTTTATTGCGCATTTAGTATTAGTCCTATAGAAGATGGTAATAAAACTAAGTGCAGGGCTTAATGTAGTTTGTGTGAAAAACTCTTACAAAAATAAAGATATCAAGAAGGAAAAGATGAGCTTGAGTACTGTCTTAATATACATCAATTAAACTACACAGATGAACAAATTCTGAAGAGAGAATTACAAAAAGAATCCCTTTCTGTGGCTGAGAATCTCTTATCACAGCTTTCATTTTATAAGAGATTTTATTGTGGAATTAGGTACCCTTTAGATAGGATCTTGGAAGATATTGACATGACCTCAGTACAGCTTTAAAAAAAAAGTATACTCATCTGAGTCTTTTATATAGGTTGCTAGTACTGATCTCCATAGTCAATGTTTCTATGATATACCTCTGTTTACAGGGTTTATAGCGTAACTGTAAATCTTGCTTTTGACTGAAACTTGGCAAGTAAGGTTTCAGTTCAAGGATATATGTACACGTCACATTTTTTAAAAAACAACAACCCGGTTTATAGTTTATTTTTAAAAGGGGATTGGAAGAATATTTTGCTGATTTTGAATTGTACCTGTTTTGGTGTTCAAGTGAGAAGTAGGTTGGTGTTTAGTCAGTAATCTGGATTAGACATTCTTAAACTATTTTCAATAAGAAATTAAATGGCAAGATTTTAAATGTTTGCATTCAGGTTTATGGATTTGTAATGTGGCAGGGCAACTGGTTCTAACTGTTTTCAGAAAATGTAAATTAGCTAAAATAGAGCTTAAAAATAAAGGTTTCTGCTTTTCTGAAACTGTCAGATAAACCTAGCAATTTTTCTCTACTAAATAGCTTGCTCATTCTTAACCTATGTTAATATACATTCACTGCAAGCCATGGTGGTGTTTGATGTGAATTTATACAAAAAAATACATGTGAAAAGGATGCCAAGTGCACCCTATGATATGAAGGAAAGGATTTCCAGTACGTACCAGATTGGCATATGCTATGAAAATAGGTTAATATACATCATAGGTGAACAAATGTAACTCAAAGTCAGTAGTATGGATAAAATACTTCTTGTACTAATCAATTTCTTCCGCAAGCCCTAAGCATGTATAAATAATGTACAAATGCCTAGGTATACAGAAAACACATGCAAACAAAAAGCACAAAATTAGAGAGAGCATTTTTAGTTTTCCTTTAAAAATGCTTTGGGAATAATAAAATCTGATTTTGATAGGAATGTGTGTTACCTTTCTGGCCTAATCTTTGCTTTTTGCTGTAATTGCATTTTAAAAAATATTTTAAAGTATTTGAATAATCATGCCAAAACACAATTTCAGCCAGTTAGTTGCATCTTTTCATTGCTGTGCTAACAGACAACCTGCTCAATGGATCACATATTACCATCATCTAAGTTATAAAAAATACAAAATTATTTCAAGGAGTAAGATCATATAAACAATAGTACATACCCTATTAACCATGTACCTTGTTATATGTGTGACTTAGATGCACTGTATAACGTAATGCTGAAGGCTAGGTGACTTCAACCACCTGTGAAGAACATATTTCTTTATCAGTAGCTTCCAAGAAGCAAAATATTAAAGTGAGCAATCATTTTGACTTCCGTGGTTGTTATGAATTATTCAGATTTTCCAAAATCTTAGTTTGCCATTCAGATTGAGATTAAAAGGGAGAGTCTATTGATGTAGCAGCAAGAGTGATTGACATACTTAAAACCAAATTTTCCGTATGACTCCCGTTTTAGCCAATGGGACTTGTGAACACACATCCAAGGACAGAATTTGACTTTAAATTTCTTAAGTTACTTTTATAAGGACTGTCATTGTTGCTGCTACAAGAATTAGTTCCTGAATAAGAAAATAAAGTAAGAAAAATTAAATACAATGTAAAGAAAAAAAGTCAAATTAAAGCTAACCCACAATGAATGCATTTAGCCTTGTGTGTGTGTATGTATATAATTGCTGTAATATTAATTATATTAAAACAGAAGTTATTCTTGCATTTTACATTGTTACAATATCTCCAACCCATTATTGCATGATTTATGTAAAGCTTTTGAATGTGACCTAAGAACAAAAAATCTTTTTATATAGTTTCCCTCTGTTCTTCTGAAGCTTTTTCCTGCTTCCAAAATCTCATTTAGATTTTGAAAGAATTCAAGAACATTTTGAAAGTCTCTTTCCTTTCTTCAAAAGCTAGCCCTTCTTGCTGTTTAATAAATGGAGTACAGTTATTTTATTTTGACTTCTCTTTAGAAAAAGATAGTAAGTAAATGTTTTGTGTTTAACATTTAAGGGTTCTCTGCCACTGCAAAAGGGTGTGACTCATTTATTCACATTGGCACTTTTTTATGTGTAAATCAGCTAGATCTAGAATATATGCATTCTTGTTACAAGTATGTGTCACCAATCTAGTAAATTGCTTTATAGTTAAAAATGGAAGTAAATGAAACAGTAAAAATAACAAGCACTAGAGATAAGACATTCGTACATGAAAACGTAAATGTATCTTGTATTAAGCATGGCAAGAAAAATGTTTTAAAATTATATCTATGAAAATTTGTGAATAACACTACATGAGAATTAAAAGGATCTTCATTTAACAGTATTTTATATATAGAGGCATATAAACTTAGCACTATTTCTCAACTTTCTGTAATAAAAATAAGGAGTGATATTAGTGTCTAGGAAAGTGAGGAACTTGTAGCACTTTCAAGAGCCACGCAGAGTTCGGCTATGCAAATTTCACCAGTCAGTTGTATAATTGCAAATCAGTCCTGACCTACGATGCCTCTGCCACTGTAACCAAGGCCCTTTTTTAGTAGAAGTTCTGAATTATGTAGTGGTCTTCCTGATTTAGGTGTGCGTCTACTGGAGACGAAGGCTGAGAGCCATATTCATTGCCTATGTAACCAGAACAATACTGAGATCCAGATCTTCAGAGAGGAAAAGCAGTAAACAAGCATGCTATTTAGGTTCTCGAATTAGACCATGTTAATTATATAAATTATAGCATGTTTATATTATGTTATGTTTTCTTTTAGAGATGTAAAGGTGAATGGACACAAACTTCAACTTTAGAATGGGTCCCAAAAGTGTGTATCCTTGAATATTGGATGTTTTAGGGCCCAAACTTGCAATGAGAGCCACCTGACAGATTTGTCTATGAAGTCTCATTGAAGTGGATCCACCTATGTGAATCTCATTGCTGAACTGGGGCCTTGGTGTTGTATTTTTAACTGTTGCTCGTAAAACATAAAAAGTATGTGATTTATGTGGAGTTTAATCTTAAATTACTTTTCTTAGGATAAGAACAGCTGTTGTCATGCAAATATTCAGAATTAGGGTAAGGTTGCAAAAAACAGCCCTGGATCTTAAAGGGTTTCTGTTGCAGCATATTAGTCACAAATATTCACCTCTAAAACTTTGTTTGTGACTTTAACTGGCCACAATGTATCCGTGTAATACCTAAAATGGTAAAATTTTATCTTCTCATCTTGTAAGGACAGTTACTCATCTTCATCTTTACAAATACGAGTATTTAAATTCAGTACTTATTAGCTTTTATAGATTGTAGCCTAGTTTTTTTATTGCTGCTTCTAAAGGAGTTCAGTAGAATGGGTTTTATTGTATGCTAAGGAAACGCTCCCCCTGTGCAGCGTGCTTCTGGAATAAATAAAAAGAAAATGGAATGAGAGACAGTATTGCATCAGGATTTCCCTAAGAGCCCTAATGATTGCTATACCTGTTATATTTTTCATTTCCTCCTTCCCCTCTCCTCTCTCAGCCTTTACATTTGTATAAATTTTATAACTTCTCTTACTTTGGGGACCATTTTATGCCTTGTTGCCATATTCTTATAAAGATTTTGGGAAATACAGCTTTTGCAATATACATGTTTATCATATATTATAATCTAGCTGTGTGTATGAGACAAATTATATTCCACTCTGAGACATAGTGGATGTTTCAGGTATTTTAAGAGAAACACAAAGTAACTTGAGTAAATATAATTTAAATTGATTTAAGTTGAAATTAACATCACTATTGGACATTTTTATTCTCTGTAGCATTTGTGAGGACTGAAGTGTCATTCTAAAGCCATTTTAAAAATCATGACAAGCTCAATTGGACAGAAAAAAGGGTCTTCAAGGCAACGGAAGTGTGGTTTTTGTAGGTCTAATAAAGATAATGAATGTGGACAACTATTGATGTCTGAAAACCAGAAGGTGGCAGCACATCACAAATGTATGGTAAGTAACAGAGGAAAAGGAAGTTAAAGCAGTGAGTTGTTAACTACATTATGTAAACAAACGAAATCCTGAATGATTTCAGCCCACTTGTGGCAGTGGTATATGTTACTAATACCACTGTTTATTTTTATTTTGAAATTGTTCCTTTTTACAAATATAATTATTCCATATTACTGGAAACCCTTTAAAATTAAGTTTTGTTTTTACACAACTTGCAGCTATTTTCGTCTGCATTGGTATCTTCACACTCTGATAATGAGAGTCTCGGTGGATTTTCTATTGAAGATGTTCAAAAGGAAATAAAAAGAGGCACTAAACTGGTAAGTCTGTAATTCTGCCTCTTGAAAATGGAAAAGTAGCATTTTCTTAACTTCTGCAAAGTATCTAATGAAGTAATTCAATGTACTACTGAAGTTATCTATTGTATCATATCTTTTTTTAATAAATGTTTTCCCTGTGCCTGTGAACTCTAATGTAGTGGGTAATTAACCCATGGGAGGAGTCATTAAGATAAAACTGGTCACGCATTTTTAAAAAAGAGGGTAAATCTCAGAGAAAGGGTAGGATGGTAGTTAGCTGAATAGCCACCAACAGGTGTGATCCCTTATTGAAATCAATAGGAATTTTGCAGTTGATCTCAATAGGAATAGGACTGAGTTCTAAATGTCAAATGACTAACGATGGGAAGCTTCTTAAAGCAATCAGTTTGTTTGTATTTTAATCATAATGTGTATAGTCTAATTCAAATATATAAATAGGTTATTTTGGAGATTGTGGAATATTTTTGGAATTCCTAAAAATGAACGGCAAATGTTAACATTTTCACTAGCACTCGCTTTATGTTGTCAGCAAATAAAGATCCTTATAGTGAATATGTGGCATAATTTTCCCAATCAAGTTTTAAAACTCATTAACAAAATAAATTTGTTCTTTTTAATGGGCTGCATACAAAGAGAAATCAGCATTTCTTAAATTTACTTTCCTATTTAATATTTTCTGACAGATTTCACAATGGAAGCACATTCCAGGGAGCTATGCAAGTGTAACACTGCTCCTTTACCAACATTTGGTTTCACTGCCAAAAACTGTCCTTTACTGCCAAGATACTTATTACTTCCATTTTTTAATGATTTAATAGAGCCTTGGGATGCAGATTTTTCATGAGATGCACATACTGAAAACTAGTTTAGCCTCAAACTGCTACGGAACTGTGTGATATGAACTGCTGTTTGTTTGCAAGGCATTACTCAATTTTTAAGCAGATTTCTGTTTGATATAAGAGCTAGGTATTATTATGATCATCTTTCTTATCTGGGAGATGGTTGGTTTTGGAAATATTTTCTAACAAGTGATACGGTATAACTAAAACAGTCCTTAGACACTTTCATTTTTGGGGGGAGAAATGGGGGAGGGGGTCTGAAAGAGGCTTTACCAGGGATGCTTTCTTTGGAGGCTGAAGTTGCATGATGTTGCACCTCATTATACTTACAGCCTCGTCACTAAACAGTACAATACTTTGCTTAGTCTTTTTCAGTGTGGAGTTTTATTTGCTCTAATTATATTATGTCTTCATTGAGTTATACTAGTTGGAGTGTGATTGGAGATTTGATATTTATAAAGAGCAGAGTAGCATATGGCTGTGGGCCAACAAGAAATCTTTTAAAATGGTTTTACGAGATCTGTATGTTTGGAATTCATGAGAATATAGATTTTCTTTGTGCTTCTGAATCTTTTTTGTTCTATCAGTAACCTGTTGGAAGAGGACGGATTCTTAAAGCACACCATCTAGAGAAACCAGGCACTTGAACTAGGTCCAAGTTTTATATGAAGAGGCTAAATGGTTTTGTCCTGATAAGCTTGAATGTGCCCTCTCTTCAAACATGTTGCACTTAGTGATTTGTTTTCCATTCTTGATTGGTCCTTTTATAGGAGAAGCAGTAAAGCACTCAATGTGGTTCTCCAAATCTAATAGTCATATTGGTAGTTTTTACTAAATTCTGTCTGCTGGCAGACAGAGTTTAAGGAGTTGTCCTATTTTGGTAGATGTTGCTACTTAGCAAATAGGCACTGAAGACTTGAAGCTACTTCTGCATATTAAAGCAATGATGGGAGAAATGCAGAATATTTCTGGTAATAGTTGACGGGTTGAGCTATAATAGGCCAGTAATATCAGCTTGTTCTTAATTTCCAGTAAATGCGCTGATCTGAGGTCATTATTGCTTCTATTAGCTGTATGTGAGAAGAAACCCTTAAAAATGTTTTTTTTTGTGCTTAGAACTTTCCATGTGCCTGATGTACATAGAGAATTAAAAAAACCAATAAAAATCATTCCAACAAATTAAAAAATTTATTTCAATGGGAAATAGATCAATAAATCAATATAAAGGTTCTTCTAGTTTGTCATTTTACCAGAGATTTCACAGCTTATGTAAGAGTAAATTGTGCCTGTCTAACCTATTAAAATATATGAAAATTAAAATAGTGGATAAAAGGGAACTGATAGATATGTTTATTTTTAATGTGTAAATACATTTTAATAAGTAACTTCTTGTGAGCAACTTTAGGAAACTTGAAATACAGAGGGTTGATTAGACACCTACCATGGATTTAAAAATTGATTAAGAGCAATGGAACAGTATGAATAGAGCAGTTCTCAATTTGTAGGGAGGTAAATAGCAGAATGATCCAAGATTCAGCTCATTTTTTGTTTTATTCAGTTAACTTCAAGATGGGGTAAATAGTGGGGTTACAAAACTTGCTGGTGGCAGGTTTATTTAGGTTAGTTAAGACTAAGAAGAATTGGAAGAACTGTAGAAGGACCTAATAAGCAAGGCAGTTAAGCAAGATGATGGATGGGTAATTTTACTCTTCATAGACTTATGCAAGGTAATGCATATTGTAAGGAACAATTTAAACTGGTCATGTATGCTGATGGGTTTTGAATTAGTTATAACCTTGCAGGAAACAAATTAGATATAAATATTTAGCTCAGTAAACATACCTCAGAATCAATCAAAAACTCAATAAGAGTTTGAGCAGTGTTAAGAAGCTAGAAAAAATATGATGAATATTAATGGCATTATATACATTGACTGTATGTCTTCCCCTTTAATTCAGCACATGAAGAAGGGCCATGAACATTTTTAGAAGCATAAGAGGTGTTTCTCAAATGAGAAACCATTACAAAGTAGTGTGGAAAGTGCCTATCCTTGGAAAATGAAGAGTAAAGCAATAGCCCTCTATGTAGCCTTTTCTATAGCATAAGAACAAAAAGGTGGTGGTATTAGTACAAATAAGAGACATTCCTTTTGTGTACCACAGTGTCATGGAATATGACTGAAGCAAATTATTAGAAAGAGGGTTAGACAGTTGTAGGGGAAAAAATGGCAGGCAGCTGCAGTTAACTAAGGTAAAATTTCAAACATTCAGTCCTTATGCTTCAGGGAATAAACTGATTTGCCAGCTGAGGTCAGCAAGAACGTCCCCTTTCTCTCCTTCTTTCATAGTATAATCCACAGTTGATCAGTGTTTGGTATAGCCCACTCTTGGAAGCATAACATCTAAGTGAAAAATTAAGTTTGTTCTAGTATGGCACTTCTTACTTAGCTAAAGTTATTGGATTATTTTTCCACTGCATTAATAATGAAGACGATAAAATTATTATCATGCTGTTATATTTTATAATTGAGTAGCTGACATATCTATCTCTCCTTTTAAAATTAATTAAAAATGACACTTGGGGAAAAATGCGGATAAAGACCGTATGACTAAATACATTGCTCTCCGTAATGCCATCTGTTTGGTGAGGAGGGAAGTTATTTTATGCCTGTTAGTTCCAATTATTTCCAAAGCCAAAAGTATTAAACTACTGCTAGCATGAATTTTATTTTTCTTTCTTTCTATTATAGATGTGCTCTTTATGCCATTGTCCAGGAGCAACCATTGGTTGTGATGTGAAAACGTGTCACAAGACATATCACTACTACTGTGCATTGCATGATAAAGCTCAAATAAGAGAGAAACCCTCACAAGGCATTTACATGTAACTACTATTTATCTATCATGTTTCTGTTTGTATTTATATTTCACGCTCTTGGTAAAACTATCATTGGAATACAAATATATTGGGTTTAAAAAAATATATAATGGTGAATATGGAGTTTAATATAACAGTGTGCTAGACTGTCTACATTTTTTTACTGCAAAATTGGAATTTTAGAGAGAGTTGTAAATGGGGTGAAATGTACTGCTATTTAAATTAAACTAAATAAGCCCTGAATCTGACAGTTTAACTGCTTTGTTTATAGGATTTTATGCCGAAAACACAAGAAAACTACACGTAACTCTGAAGGTAAAACTATTTAATGTAATTCTCTCCCCCCTCCCCCCCGACAGATACTCTGATTACATCTTAAATTTTGTGGAAAATATAAATGTTTTGGGCAAACTAGGACTGGACTAGAATTAGATGTGTTTCTGAAAGAATTAATCTGAAGCTGAACCTATGTAGGGAATTTGCATATGGTGTTAAGATGCTAAAAGGTAGGCATCTGATTTAAAAATAAATAAATAAATCCCAGAATGCTCTGGGGTTCTGATGCTCTGTCATAATAAAGATTCTGTGAAAGTAATGTGTTCCCTCTTGGGAAGAATCTGATTTGTATGTTCAGGTAAGTATTCTACATCTTAAATGTGTCAGTTTTGTCAGGCAATGGGTATATCTTACGCTGTTTGTAACAAAATCCTACAAAACTACAGTATTTTATCAGTTAAGCTTTAGGTCTTCCTTTCGTACTATTCCTGATAATTTTGTCATAAATTAGAAGAGAGATCTGGTATTATATATAAGGGGTTGTGGTCAGATTACCCTTTGAAATGCTGCCTTTGGCTATTTGACCGATGAACTGATTAACACAAGCTGTTGTATGAAAGCACTCATGCAACTGTCTCATAACTGAGGGGGGACTGTTGGAACGGGTGAGGCAGTTGGGCAATACATTTAAAATAGCTTTAATATGTTGTATGGTCTTTTGACATTCAAACCCAGTTGCACAATTGTGTAGTGGTAGTCTTTGCCTTTTTTCTATTGTATTTGAATTTGGGTAAGTAGAAATTAGTTTACCTTTTCATCATTCTAAATTGAAATGTAACTTCAAATTTAAACAATGAAGAAATGTGTTACTGTGTCTTTTAGTGGTATTTTTGAATCTCTTGTAAATTGTCATTTCTTTCTGCCAAATGCATTTTATTTAGCATATACATATTATTTTGTGCCATTCACCTTAAATAATTATATTAATATTAGAGATTTGATTTAATCTCCCCCCCAAATCTTTTTGCACAATGTAAATCAGAAATTCCAGAAACTGGTTTTTTATGTTATCCAGTTATAGCTAAATATCGTCGTGCACTCTGCATGTAACATGCACTGCACTATGACTTCTGTAACTAACAAGGCTTTATTAAGGAGACTGGAGAAACAGCATAGAATTTGTATTAATAGTTAATAGATTTAAAATAGACTAGACCCAGTTACAGTAGTGTAGTTTGGAGTCTTAATTTCTGTTTGGGGGGTTTTATAAACAGTATTGTAGGATGAAAATTCTTATGGAAAGATTTGGAGTGAAGTGAAGGACTAGACTAGTCTCTCATGTAAATAGTTAGTTTAGACAGACACACAATGTAATATACTCACTGTTGGCTCATAGCTATTGCCATCTATTGAAAAACCTAATTGTGATCCTAATCCTGCAAGTTGTTCCATGGGAATAGACCTCTGCTGCTTTGTGGAGCTCCTTGCAGGGCCAAGGTCTATGCTAGTATTTGAGAGTCTGCAAGAGCTGTTTCTGCCTATTCTAATATGTCACTCTTTACTGTGAGGTGCTCTGTACTTTAAGATGGATATTTGTATTGGAAAGGACATGGGAAAAAATTACTGCAGAAGAGCAAGAGCTGTTTTTTCAAATATTAATGATTGCAGTTTTTTTTAAAACACAAAAGCAGTGTTTTCTATAACCGCTTTGGTTAAGTCTATCTGAGTTGTTGAAGACAAAAAAACCCGATATATCTTGTTTGAATTTTCATTTTTCACTCCATTGAATTGAAATGGAGGATTTGGGTCAATAGTATGTTGCCATAGTGTGTGTGCTCTTTTTAGTGGGGGTCCCAAGTTTGAAAATCAGACTCTCTCTTTGTTCTCAGGCTTCTGGGGACTGAGTATGCCTAACTGACAGAACAGTGCTGTTGTTTATAGTTTGTATTTTGGTAGCGCCTACCAGGCCAGGGGCCTGTTTTCCTAGGCCATGTACAAATATAACAAAACAAGCACATGTAGTCTCTGGTGAGGAAACACCTTACATCATTCTATAGCGGCAGCATTTGAGTATGCTGCTAGATACTTGTATCCTGAGAGATAGTTGCTATGTCTTCAAAAGAATGAGATATCAGGTGGTCCTCAGCACTCTGAGAAGGGGCTTAAAGGATCTCCTGTGTTATTTACTATTTAAGTGCTGACATTGTACTCAAGACTGGAAAGGGCACATAGGGAGTCTGTCACAAAAAAAAATGGCACAATGAGAAGCCCAGAAGAGTTTTTCTTACATATTTTGTTGGCTTATTTTTTGTGGTCAACATGGAAAAAGTGAGACTCAAGGAGGGAGTTGAATGTGTAAAGAGAAACTAGGGCTTGGCATACTAGAAAAGACAAGTAGAGAAGAGTAAACAAATTGGACTGAATAATCAAATGCTGTTATAATAACTTTTTTGTCATATATTATTTTGTTTCCATGAATTTCACTCTTGGGGTTGTTTGCATACCAGAACAGTTAATGCTAATCTGTGGTCATGTGCCTCACAGCTTGTGTGGGGCACTTGGGACTGAAAGTCAGATGCGAAGGAAGGGTATGAACCCTGCCCCTTGGTGGCTGGGTTTTTGTGGGAGAGGGGTTTGATCAGTGTAGAGCAGTTCTGGTTATGTGTCCTAATCTAATTGCAATAGTTCTGTTTTTATTTTAGCTCTTTTGGAAGCAGCTGTTGGAATAGAATATTTTTAATAGAATAATAGTTTCTCATTTGGGTCATGTCACGTTTAGACAATCAAAAATCATTGGGACTTAAATTCTGTGGACAATGCTGTCCCAAAATATCTATTAAGACCAGCATTTATTCTTCCTACTTTATCTAGAAAATATTTGTTCTCTTTGGAGTTCTTGCTAAAGCCTGAAAGGTATGTATTGTGGTGTCTGTTAGCAATTCCAGCTTGGTGGGCCAATAGCTGTTAGAGACCAATATGTTACTGCATACCAAGCCCTTCTCCCCTTTCTGGAGGAATGGTATGCCATCCAGTACCTGTTGGGGAAACTTTCAGTGTAGTGCACAGAGATTTGGCTAAATTACTTACTTTAACATTAATTAAAGTTAAACAGCTAAAAACCCGTTTACCCTAATGAACATTTACTCTTTGATGTCCAAATCTCTCATGAAGCCCAAGAGGAAGTTCCAGCATGGCATTGGGGAGCACAGGCCACTGGCTGTACAGAGGTGATAGATCACTGTGGAGTTTGCAGAGTTTCCTACAGCTGGGAGAGAAATCTGGGGGTGGGTCTAACCTGGCCCAGATGTCATGCAGGGGAAGAGGAAGTCCTGTCCTGCCCAGCCCAGCCAGGACTAGCAGCTGAGCCTGGCACAAGATAGGCGCCACCAGCTGGGTCTTCCTTAGTCCCAACCCCCACCCCACAGTGATTTACCCCTCTGCCGGCTGCTCTGGGCTCCTGAAACATACTGCAAGGGAGGGTCGCATGACTGTTTTTGTGGCTTCCCTTTGCTTCCCCATCACAAAGTCATTTTTCTGCAGGGAAGCAAAGAAATTTGTGGGGGACATAAATTCTGTACGTGAGTAGTGGTGTAGAATTCCCCCAGGAGTATGAAGTGTCTTCTGTTTGTTTTTAAATTCAATAAATTTAGCTTGGTGGCACAAAAAGCTATACTTAGTCATTCTCTAGTCTTGCAAATTGTTGACCTCCTTTAATATTTCTTTTTTGGTCCAGCATTCACATGACATTAGAGCTATATGTGATGAATCTATATTTCTTCTCTTCACTCAGATGCAGAAGTAATCGCAATAAAATCCAAATGGTACCCTAGACAGATGCATGCCTCTACACAGTAGCTTTAATCTTACAACTCAAGGGTTAACTAGTTGTCACTGCATAGGCATAGAGATCAAGCTGGAATCTTATATGCTGTATTCCTACTAACTAGAAGAGCATGTCAGTTAAAGTAGTTTGGAGGCAGCTGTTCAGAAGAGCAGATTGAGAGCTATTTGAAGTGCACTGTCCTCTAGATCTTGTTTTTATTTCTCTCACTGCTTAGAAATCTTTTATCTAGTAAATAAAATAAAATCCAACCCCAAATTAAGCATTTTGTTTGGGAAACCCAGTGGGCTCTTGGATTTTTTTTCAACACCCAACATCATGTGGGAGTTGCTATTATTGTTCTGTTCGGCTTGTAAATGATATTACAGCATTTCATTAGTTGAATTGTTACGCAACTTGGCACAATTGTATTTGTTTTGAGAAGTTTGGGACTGAAGTTGACTCGTACTTATTTTCCTTCATTAGTTGCAATTTTGGTCAGTCATTTTGGTTGTTTCTATGGTGTGGTTCAAAAATAATTTTTCTTTGTTACCTTACATTTGAGGATCTCCAAGTGAACTGGGGAAACTAAGGGACATAGAATTAGTGATGAGCTCAAGGTCACTCAGTAAGCCAGTGTCAAAGCCAGGAATAGAACTAAGATTGTCAGTTGTATGCTTTACTCTCAGGGCAATTACAGGTCCTTCAAATGTTAAACTTTTATCATTCTTAGATTAACAGAATTTTTGTCAATAGTCTACTTCGTATTGGATAATCAGTCTTATCTTTCTGCAAGTTTGTCCCTTGTCTGATCTTCTTTTTTTTTTGTTTTTGCCATTGGGGTAGAATCCTACTTTTTTTTGCCATTGGGGTAGAAGACCGCCTACTTCTAGAACCAGTTAATACTTTCAGGGCATTAGTGTAGGTGTCCACTTTTTGTGTGCTACTGGTATTCTAATTTATGCAACCAACCCACAGATATCACTTTTTCTTCAGTGCAGAGAAGTACCTGGTCTTGCATAAAACTGGGACAATACTTATCTGAGGTGCTTGTGTTCTGTTCCAGGAACATTTCTAAAGTAAGGCTTACTGAATATCAGTACGTACTTAAGTACCTGGTTGTGAATATCCTCAAGAATAAGAAAAGAACTTTCAGTAATTTAACTCTCCTTTCGGAATCTAGACAAGAGCTTTCTCAGAGGAATTCCTTGCCAATAGC